AGTTTGTTTTCATTGGGTTTTGCAGATCTGTCATAAATGACTCGTAGTTTCGTTTTTCTATCAGTTCGGATAACACCATGATGTGGCATGTAATGCACTCCAACGTTGTCTTTGTCCTTGTTGTTCTCCATGCAATCTTCAATCGGAACCTCTTACACAATACCATTTCGTTTCTGTTCGTTAATAATGTTCTCATATTCTTCTAACAATTCAGGCTCTTTGGTTAATTTCTTCTGTAATGATCGAAGTCTATCACGGCAAAGTCCATAATGGTTTGAGTCTGGTTGACACCCATCCTTCCACGGTAATCCTACTTCGTATCGCGTGCCATTGAACTGAATGTCTTCGACAAACTTATTTTGTTGCAGGTCATTGTTTGATTCTGGATCAAAAATCCCGATTGATTCGTTTGCCAAAACTGCTTTAGACTATCGGTTAAGGAATCTCTTTCGTTGACAGTAAGGAAGTCATCACTTTCTCCCGCAATGATCAGATTTGATGTGATTTTATCATCACTCGACACATATCCCTCACTGGGATCCGTTAAGAGCCAACCAAGTTTGCTTCGAACAGCGATAGGACCACTTCCTCCGCGAATTATATCACCTGTGACAATGTTCCAATAAAAATCAGAACCAACGAAGATGTCAATACGTGATTCGTTGTCTTTGTCCAATGGGTCAGCAAGTTCTAGTCCTTCCAAATGAGCATAATCCACATCAACGGCTGGTGGTAAAGACGAACAGATCACTGGTACACTTAGTGCAGTTAGGTCTATTTTTTCACCACTTGAATTTTCGAGAACAAGCTGGACATTGTTACATGTTTGTTTTCTAAACTTGTTGTCTCCGAAAGTGTTCAGCTGTATCGATTCGGATTTCTTGGGCATTAAACCTAGTTTACATTGCAAATTGTTGGTTATGTAAGTTCTTCGACTGCCATTGTCAAACAGAATTCTTACTTTTACACTTGCAGATCCATCTTCATTGTATGCTTGTGCTTTAGCAGTTTGTAGCAAAACCTTTCCTTTGTTTCCGGACATTGATGCTGTTGTAATCGTTGATTCATTTTTTGATTCATCATCGTCCCTTTTTCGCTGAGCATCCTCACCCCCCGGTTTGTCTTTGCTACTTTCACAGATGGAAAAACAAATTGACTGATGATGCCTTTTGTTACAGTGGCGACAGTGCTTGCTAACTGGACAATCTTTCAATTGGTGTCCCTTTCGAATGCAATTGAAACATCTACCGCTTTGACGTAGAATGTCTTTTCGTTCTTGAACATTCTTTATAGTTTCACAAGAAGCAGAATAGTGCTCTCCCTTGCAATACACGCATTGTAACTTAAAAGATTCACCACTTCTCGTTGTCAAGGCGCTCGCTGAGCCGTAGTTAGGTCTGTTCGACGGAGAGGGCGGTTTGTTGTTGTCATTAGCTTTAATCCTTTCGCTTGCTTCGCGGACTTCGATTTCTACCTTAATAACTTCTAACAACTCGTCGATTTTCCAGGTTTCGCTATTCGCCTTACGAGCGATCTGAATTCGAATATCGTTGGGAAGTGTCGACATAATGATTGGTATCAATAAACTCCCATATTGATCAGATGACACGCCCAGTGACTGTAAACCACGGACGTGAACGCTAACTTTATCGTAAAATAATCTCAAATCGTTGCAAACTTGTAATTTTAAAAGTTCGTCCATGTGTGCAGATATTATAGCTTGCGGTTTGGAAAATCGATCTTTTAAAATCTTGATAGCGGAATTATAATTCGACTCGGTCAAAGGCAGGCCGTGAATTGCTCGCGCTGCGTTTCCTTCCAATAAGGAATTCAAATAATTGAATTTGTCGATTATAGATATATCGTCATTTTCGTGAATTGATGCGTTAAAAGAGTCCCAAAAAGTGTTCCATTTCGTAAGTTCTCCTTTGAATCGTGGTATTGTCAATTTCGGTAATCGAATTTTCGCATATCCTTGTCCTCCTTGCGGTTGAGAATTACTCGTTATCGTTTGGGCGTTCGCTTCGACTTCGGTGTTTACATTAATTGCAGGCGATTGCTGTTTTTGTTTCGTTTCTTTAATCCTTCGTTGACAATCGATAATCCGGGCCACAATTTCCTCTGATTCCTGAATTTCATTGTTTATAGTTGTCAATTCACATACATTTAAGATTTCTTGGTCGATTTCGTTCAGGGTTTTCAATTTGTTTTCAAATATAGTACTTATAACTTCGATTCGTCCCTTTTGATTCTCGCTTAAACTGTCAACACAAATGAGTTCGTTCGCTTCTTGTAATAAATTGTTTACGACGTTTCTGTGACTATTTCGTATCGCTTTTAATCGCTTTAGTTTCTTTGTCTCGGCCATGATATCGCTTTATAGCCTTATACTCGTATATTTCAGGAAATCAAGAGGGCCCGAGGTTGGGCGCCATATAGTAAACATTCGAATTCAACACCATTTTGTAGTCTATAAATATATATTACGAAAAACAAATTATATTACATGTCAAGTTTAAGGTGTGGTTAGTAGCGCTAGCTATAAAATGTCAACAAATATGTTCATACTTCCGGTTAGTATATTAATATATTAAACATTTATTATACGGTTTGATCCGGTGCATACCACTGTGAGTATATACGCTTTTGGCGTTCTTACATAAGCTTTATGAGGATAACCTGGCCTTGAATACTGCTCGTTCGGCGGTTTCTAATATTAATGAAAATTCGATTCATACAAAAATGCATACACCGGTTGGTAAACATTCATTAGTATGTCGATACCTTAAATGAATATTCAATAAACTGAGAAAAAATTTTCAACCATATTCCTTAAAATATAGGGTTTAAAAAAGGCTTTCCGGGCCATGACAAGTAAAAAAAGTGACTAACATTTTTCCATCCATGTATACTAACAAAACGGGCAAAGTTTCACAATTTCACCAATTCCTGCTTTTTGGGGGCCACCCGTTGCAAATTTTCTGGCCCTCTATAACTGAGGCACAGGACAATTTGCCCAATGTACTAGCAAAAATTTTATAGTCATTTTTGCCTGGGAGGGGAATGCATTCCCCCGCCCGTCTCTGGACACCCAAACACCCGCTAAGTACGCCACTTCCTGCTTTTAAGTGTCCATGGTAACACGGATGTGCATAATGGTTTGCTAAAATTGAAAATTAAAGGTAGGGTACAGTCCGTATGTAAACAAAACACTTGCTTACATTTCGGTATTCAAAATATTGAACTTTGTTCGACAACTATTTGTATTTCCATGCTTCTACAGTGTAATAATTTATCAGGATACAACAATCAGGCTTTGCAAGAACATAAGATAAATAAAAACCTAATTAAAGTGTTTGTATCACGGCAGGAGACTCCTATGCGCCCATGCGCAGATCGAACTGTACCCTATCTTTAAACGAGACTTACCTGGAAGTTGAAGTTTGATGTTAATTCTACCAGATCATTAGCACAGTAGGGTCAACATGCTCATACGTTACTCCCATGACTACCCTACTATAAGAAGGAGTATTACGCCCGTACTCTAAAAGTTCACTCACTAAATGAGTCTAAGTTCAATCTGAGCTTCTCTTGAGTGTCATTGCCGTTTTTGAATTTTTAGCTGGAGGATTAGTTTCGTACCTTACTACATACTCACCGTCCACCTATTCGAGAACAGCATTCACACTCAAAGGAAACTCAGATTGAACCTTCACTCATTGAGTGCGAGTGTGCTTTGATAACACAGGTGTTAGTTTTTCTCAATCTTTGCTTCTTTTGGTTTTTTCTTTGTTAATCTATTCTGTATCTGTCTGTAGTTACGCATTTGTATAAGAATTTGTTTGGTGATCACCAAATGGTACGTTTAAAGTACTGAACCACGACAGTGCGTGCGTATTTCATGATAACCCACTGTAATAATGATTTGGTAGAATTGATCAAACTTCAACTTCCAGGTACACTGTAAATCTCTTTATTTCAGCATATTTTTTAACTTCCGAGCGATCCGTAATCTGTTATTTTCGTCGATTTATTTCACACCCTTTTTCACTGAAAGCGCTTCATATTCTTCGTTTTACGGTGGAGTAAACAGAAAAAACAGACAAAATCTTACTAATATATTATGGGATCAAGAAAATTTTACTGAAAAATTAAAGCACTCGCAGAACTCATACGCCGCTACATCCGGAACCAGGTGCGCGTATTTTCCGCATTTCATCTCTGCGAGTGACATACAAAGTTCGCCGGAAAATTTCCCGCCAGGATCATTAATTTGTTGTTGTTTTGAAAATACGAAAGGTCTTTTGTTGGTATATAAAAGGAAATTAATTAACGTTGGAAATAAAACGAAAACATTTTGAGAGAACTAAAATTTATTCTAGTTTTATGTTTGCACCATAATTTTTAAAAAATATCGCTTTGATATTGGTGTTTCGCGTGCTTATTTGCATGTCGTCTTTGTGTGTATTTTTGTCACTCTGAATAAGTCCATATAATAAACAGAACATTAAACGGTGGCGATGAGATATGGATTTATGTTCTCGTGTCAATAACAATATCTCACTCGAACATAAAAACCATATCTCCTCGCAACCGTCTAATGTCCTCTATATGTGCGTTGCTGTTACTGTATTTTTTAATTTTTGAGTAAATTACTTTACAAGTCAATCAACCTAAATTCAGTCAATCACAATTCTCGGCAGCTGGCTGCCGAGAGTGATAATTTTCCTGGGCTTTCCGGCAGGTTGCAGGCAATTACACAATGACGACGTCGAAAAATCCTGATTTATAAAAAATTGCGCCATTTTCAAATTGTTTTGAAATGTAAACAGCGAAACATGTACTTTAAGGAAATCCGAGAGCTCATTACATTGTGTTTTGGCTCAGGTTACATATCGGCAGCGGAATTTGCAATTTTACTCGGTGAATATGGATCCTGCAATCCAGGTTTTCCATAGAATTCGATTTCGAGTAAATGCCTTTTAACCTTGATGATCAATATGGACGAATGTGAATGCTTAGCAGAGTTTCGATTTGAAGAGCAGCATATTCCACTTCTCGCTGAAGCATTGAGAATCTCGGCTTACTTCATTACGGAGGAAAGAAGCCGAATCAGAGGCATAGAAGGGTTGACGTGTATGTTTCTAAAGAGAGTGGATTATTCATGCCGTTGCAGTGACATGATCCCTCGATTTGCTCGTCCAGTCCCAGTGTTGAGTATGCATGGTCACAAACAAGGTCATAAATCACCTTTGCCAAACTCATGGCCATCGATTAACACAATGGAATCATATACTATTCTCCACCCTCAAGCACATGAGCAGTATGCTGAAGCAGTTCATAATAAAGGCATTCCATTACAAAATTGCATATATATATATATATATATATAATATTTTATATATATCATATATGAGTAGAGTGTTCAAAACAGTAGTAGAGCTGATAAGATTAGATGATTAGAAGACAAACTTGAATTACTTCATATGAACTTTATTTCACTTTATTTTATTTTATATATATATATATATATATTTTATATATATATATATATATATATATATATATATATATATATATATATATATATATATATATATATATATATAATAAAGATGCCTAGTGGATTTTGTTGATTTGTTGTACCTTAATTTAAAAATTTAAATATGCTCTGGTTTTCCATTGAGCACTTTGCCAAAAGTTTTTATAACCAACAAAACCAAATTATATATATATATATATATATATATATATATATATATATATATATATATATATATATATATATATATATATATATATATAGAGAGAGAGAGATATATATATATATATATATATATATATATATATATATATATATATATATATATATATATATATATATATATATATATATATATATATATAAATTTTAGGTCAATTAATTGTAAACTTTCTGTATAATACTGTTTGCACACAAAAATGGAATTTGAACTTGTTTGCACTTAAAATGCAATTTGACTTGTTGCTGTATTAGCTGCATGAGCACAATTTATTAAATGCATGACTAATTTTGTGCATGATTGATTTCTTTACAAAAATGTTTACCTGAAAGGCTACTATGGCGCATAGTCTGACACAACACCAGTCAACTTTCTGATTTAAGGTTGTGCCACAAAATTATCTGCGGGTAATTTCTAGATAATCTCACGCCAATGGGTTTTGAGGATTTCAGCCATTTTCTCTTTGCCTGGCTATATAAGACACATCTGATATACTTGTACTAGGTAAAACAATCCTTTCAAAATCAACTTTGCATTTGCGATTTAGGCTACCTTAATACACTATACAAGATAGCTTTCCATAGCAGCGTGAAAGAAACACCTACTGTATATGTATCCCATACAGAATGTACAACTTTGAGAAGCTGAGTGAAACAACATCTCCTAAAAAGTACACATAGATGTTTTTTTCACGTCGCTACAGAAAACTATCAGGTACAGTGTATAAACGTCAGATTAATATGATCCCATGTAAGTACTCTCCTTCCCAGAGCGAAGCTCTGCTTTGAGAGAGGTTCAGAGCGGTAATCTCTTCTTTTATGATTACGGTAGCACAGATGTTTAGAGGACAACTTGATATAGTAGAATAAAAACTGGTCAACAGTGCTATTATAGTCAGGCGTTTTTATTACAAATCATTGCATGGTTTTGTAGGGCCGTGGTGAACGTGCATACGACATATATTCTCGACTTTTGAAAGATCGCATTATAACTGTAATGGGTCCAGTAAGTAATGCATTATTCTAATACAATATTCTCTAACTTAGTAATTACATTAGCTTATTGTTGATTTCAGGTAACTTTTCAACACGCGGTTCCCAAGTTCGTTGCGAAGTTGCCAATTACGTTGTTCATTTCGGAAGTTGGGCGTGAACTTCGCAACAAAGTTTTCAACGAAGTTCGCAAGTTCATTTCAAAGTTCGAACTTTGATTGTAAACAAATGTTCATAGTTGGAGTTGAAATTACTGTATAAGGCCCTAATCCCTATGCACATATTACTGCAGTAAAATATTGGTCCAGTGGTATCCCAAGACGAAAATGGCTTTTTAAATAAATTTATAAATGAAATTTTTACATTTGTGTACAATCGAAGTTCGAACTTTGAAATGAACTTGCGAAATTTGTTGCGAAGTTCCCGCCCAACTTCCGAATTTGGAAACGTATTAAAATTGGCAAGTTGACAACAAACTTGGGAACCGCGCTTTGAAAAGTAATCTGAAATCAACTGTAAGTCTTGTTCACGCTCGTTGCACGATGATGACAATACCCAGTGGTACACTTGATGAACAAAACTCCACTTGACGGAGACTACTCCACCTTATTAAGGAGACTATTCCACCCGCCAACAGAATAAATGCTTCATAAAGAAGGACCAATACTTTTGGGTTATGGAACTCAACACTCATTTCCACCAGTTGCAATAGAATACAGACATAAAACTGGCTCAATAGGATTAAGTGGCTGATCCAACTCACCCCCCCCCCCATCCTTCGCATTAACAGTTCTCGTCTTTGTTGATACGGCATAAATTTTACTTTCAATTGCCATATTTGCAAATAGATTTTTATTCGTATATTTAGATAACAGATGATTTAGCAAATATAGTTGTGGCACAGCTACTTTTTCTCCAAACAGAAAGTGCAGTAAAACCCATCCATATGTACATAAATAGTCCAGGTAATGGAACGTAACAGTATTGTTTCTAGTTAAAATAACTCGTAAAAGAGGCATATTCAAAAAACATGTGGTATATAAAAAAAATATTTATTGAGTAACGTTTCGTCACATTACAAGCGTGATCATCAGGCTAAATACAGTTAAGCTATTAATTCGATTTCCGCCTGGTGTTTCCATTGCTAGTATTGTTTCTTTTGTGTCAAGCTGATTCATTTACGAAATGTTTTTTCCGTGGCGAATTTTGAATCTATTTTTCTATTTGCTTGGTGCGAAACCTGAATTTGATTAGCAGAAAACGGACTTAACCGGTTGTTTTCCAATCTGAGTTTTCTTTTAAAACTGTTTAGGAGGTGCTGTTACCGCTGGCCTGGCAATATATGATACGATGCAGGTACAGTTTTGCGTAAATATTGCATGTACAAACACGGACATACTGTACTGTAGCAAATTTATGAATAATAAACATGTAACGCGCTTACGCGCCGAGCACTCTACTGCTTAAATCAGCATGCTCACAACAGAGTCAGAGTGAAGAACAATTTATTTGGTAGCATTAGGCTAATTTATATACAGGGTGTCCCAAAAAACCCGAAAGCTATTGATTGAAATAGACGTATTGGTAGAATTTGAATGCCTCAGCACTCTGCTGAACCCACACGTGCATGAAAGCTTGACGTAAGTAAATTTTATGCATAAAGAAACCGTTTAAGAGCTGTTTTAAATTCCCAAGAGCAGAAAATCGTGCGCTTTACAAAGATATTTTAATTTCTTAATAAGTCAATATTTAATATATGCACCCTGTCAATATTTTACGCATCTTTGCGTTCAGCTTAGTGCTAGGGCATTCAAATTTTAACAATACGTTATTTCAATGGTTTTGCGTTTTTTTTGGGACACCCTGTATAGTACAGGTTTGCGTAACGTTCACTAATATCTTACAATTCATCAATTTAGGTAACATGAGATGCGTACACACCCCAAACGAAAATACCCCTTTACTAATTAACATTAGCAGCGCAACCACAAATGCTACTATACTTACACATGCAACACAACCTGCGCACGCTACATAACTATAAGCTCCTCTGCAACGCTGAAACTCTCCAATTGTGCTTCACGTTACGGAAAATTGCCCTTCGTCTAACACGTTACTAAATATTTGGATCTATGTAGTATATTCGTCCTCCCATATCTACATGGTGTGTTGGTCAAGCTTGCAGTATGGCATCACTACTTCTTGCATCTGGTGCTAAAGAATTACGTCATGCATTACCTCATTCTCGTATTATGGTACATCAACCTCACGGTGGAGCATCGGTAAGTCATGGTACAGGTAACCTTTGTACCTTACTGTATTTATTTTGACTTGTTCTCTGTTATATCCAAATTATAAACATACACCTAAGTTATATACACGAAATCCAAGGGAAATTGACTGCCTTTGACAGGGTCTTGCTACGCATGGCATGATTGACTTAGTATTATACTCGTATGGCGGGGCATGTTGATATTTTTAATCATTTCTAGGGGCAAGCCACTGATATTGCTATTCAAGCTCAGGAGATCTTAAAGTTGAAGAGAATTATTAACGAAATTTATTCTGAACACACTGGACAGCCCACAAAGAAAATAGGTATGATATTTGCTAAACTAAACCGAACCAAGACAAACTAACCAAACCAACTTTATTTAAACTGCTTCATGCTTATAGCTGTACCAGTTAATGCTCAGTTTTCCGTAGTCTAGATGTGTAGTAATGCTGTACAGGTCATCTGGCCCTGCAGTGGCCTATTTTTCCAGTGATACTACAGGACTGGCAACCGAACTACAAGAAAAAAAAAACAGAGATTGTAGAATTACCCTGGCAGAACTCTTGGTGCATGCGACAGTTTGAAAATACATATTACATCAATGAAATCGCGGCTACTGCAGCGGTCACATGCATGTTAGATCAAGTACAATTTCAGATTTTCAGTGCTTGGTTACATTTCACAATAGGCTTGAAAAAGAATGTTAATACATGGTGAAGTGTCAGTTACACATGTTAGTAGATTGTGTAAATGTCAATTTCACATGTTCACTGTTTAAATGCAAATTGTGAAATTATGTGATATTTGTTAGCATGTGAGCTTGTGAATGACAAGGTGTGGCGGACACTGTGAGGAGGGGGTGGAGGGGGTGGTAGGCGGCAACATTTCTGAAAGCCTCTGATTCCTAGACGAATAAATGTTTAACAAAGTTTTAACCATGAAAGCATTAGTATGCTATAAATTCAGCATACACATTGCATAAAATATACGGCAAACGAGTTTAAAAACTGTCATTTCCAGCGATTCTTAAAAGGTGATCATATGGTGGTGGCGACCTTTAAGATCTCCTTGTAATTTTCTGTATACATTTAATAAATTATTTTTTCTTGCAGAGGAAGCTTTAGAAAGAGACAATTTTTTATCTCCAGAAGAAGCGAAGGAATTTGGACTTATCGACCGTGTTCTTTCTCATCCTCCGGGCAATAATGACTCTAATCTCGAGGAAAAACCGTCTTAGACATACTTTACCACATAACTAACCACCACTGAGCTAATCACGTGTGATTTAAAAATCATTTGATTTACCCGCGCTAACCCGCTAAATTATAAAACACCTGGGGCCGGTTGTTCAAAGCTGGGTTAGCTTAATTAACCCTGGGTTCACCTAAAATTCAAAGCAAATTGCCTGACAGCTTGTCCATAAATTTGGAAATATTTCTTCAGAGATGTTGTTTGGATCGACCAGAGTTTACTTCTCTGAAGTTTTGAAATAAACAAACGTGTATAAATACACAAACTAAAACAGCAGGTTAAATTTTAACCCAGGGTTAGCGCTAATCCACCTTTGAACAACTGGACCCCGAAGATTAGGGTATTATAGCCATTGATCGTTTTTAATCAACTGGATTGTTGTCAAAGGCAGTAGCCATTGATCTCAGAAAGTGCGTCACTTATAATTGGCTATAGAGCCTCGTTTTCATATTTGTGACAATAGTTTTCATATAATATTATGCGACATTGGCCCAACATCTGTCACGAAAACAAGGCTCTATATCAACATGGTTAGACCTCATACTCGTGAGTCCCACGCCCCCATTGAAGTACATGGTTGCTTATTGTAGACCTTTGCTTACTATAAATGGAAAACAATACATTAAAATATTTATCAAAATATTTTTATTGTTAAAGAGCAAGAATCCAATCATTGATGGGACGTCCACATAAACATTTATCCATGCATCTTTTCCTCTTGCATATTCTTTTACACAAATTAAACGAATACAGTTTAAGGTGCAGACGTCCACTCGGTTTAACTCAAAACGTGGACGTCCACGTTTACAAGAAGCATGCATGATTAAAAGACGTATCTGACGACAAAAGAGACTTGAATTCATTTCAGTCTCATACAATTTAGGCCGTGGGCTGTTGGCCAAAATTATTTCGCTTCGTGGCACCCATGTGGGAAATACTTGGTTTGGGGTTTATTTGAAAGGCATATAGCTACATCACTACCAAAAAAAGTTCCCAAACAAAAAAGTTCCCCAATCCCGAGAAAATGGGTGATCAATGATTATCCTCTATTAAATTGTATTACAGCAAAAAAATGGGAAATTCTGTATTCAAATACAATAAAAATGACTTCCATCATCGGAAAACGTACAAAAAACCGCATATAAGACTTTTAAACAGTTTTTTGATTTTTCAAATAGTCTTTGAGTTATTGCTGTTTTAAATGTGAAAATTGCACCAAAATGTCGCAATAAGGACTGGGTACTAGGTCAAAAACGCGTTTTTGACAGCGTATAACTCGAAAACAATTTTATAATGCAAGTGCACTTTTGTTGTAATTGAATACAAAATTTTACATTTTCTTGCTGTAATACAATTTAATAGAGGATAATCACTGATCACCCATTTTCTCGGTGTCGGGCAAGTTTTTTGCTTGGGAACTTTTTGTGGTAATTAAGCATGTATGGTTCTATGAATTGAACCACAGAAAATCTATTTCCCAGGAGGGTGCCACGAAATTGCTTTTCTAGGCACTTTTTCGCACAACAGCCCACGGCCTAATTCGGCAATTCCTCAGTACAGCCAAGGCCCAAGGTTAGCCATGTCACGCAAAACTGCGTCCACATGCAGAGCATTCTGGCTTGTCAGCATATCAATACAGACAATAGACAATTCCACCTATATCGACTAATTTTTTATCTAGCCAAGAAAGACGAAATATATCATAATTATAGCTCGAAAGAGCATCCTAAAATTAGTATAATTGCAAAGTTTGGTTGCGAAATGTTGTGAAATGCGGAAATATATAGCCCTGTGAGTATTTTAGTATTACGCGCGGTAAAAATAACCATTATTTTTGAGCCGAAAGTGGTTGTTTTTACCGCGCGTAATACTAAAATACTCAAAATTTGCTAATTTCACAGAGTTCACAGGGCTATATTTTCCGTATTTTACAACATTTCGCAACCAAACCTTGCAATTTTACTAATTTTAGGATGCTCTTTTGAGCTATAATGATAGATTTCGTCTTTCTTGTCTAGATAAAAAATTAGTCGATAGCTGGAATTGTCTATTGAGATATTTTACAATTTATAGTTGTGATTCTTTAAAATCAAACACAACGTGGTTAAAATGTTCAGTCGAGCAGTTGTTTGTAGTTTACTTGCTGATTCTTCATTAGGATCTTTAATGAAACAAAAACATATTTCATCAGGTTCAAAACTCGCGGGTGTGCTTAACTTTGATACAAGTGGGGCTGATGATCTATCCATAGGTCACCATCTATTTCGGGTTATTTATTACTTTGTCATTTATTACTGCAGACATGAGCAGGAATCGGATAATTTAATCCATGGAAAAGTTTTGATTATATAACTTCACCAAAAATTGGTAGAAGACTTCTCTGGCATCGTCTGATTATCACCACTATCCTCGTCATTATCAACATACACTATACAGTAGGCATCATCTAACGTTACGTCACCGTACCGACTCTGTATAAAAGTTATCAGGCAGTTCCACTCTTCCAATGCCAGAAGCGTTTTACTGTAAAGCCAACACTGATTTTTCATTAAATTTGTAATCAATTAATGAACTAATATGAACTATAATGCAATAAAATAATATCTGTATATCTAGTAAACTTTTATGACAACCGCAATGACGGTTTATTGACCAAGAACAAATCATAGTTTGATAAAAAATCGTATTTAGTATGTTAAGCCTGGTTTCCATTAAATCGTAATTATCGCAAGAACCGCATCGCAAGCGTCGCAACGATTTTAAAAGCGCGGAAATTTTAATAAAAACTGCGATTTATCGGAAACTTGAGTCACACCGATCACTAAGACTCTTACGACAAAGTCGCAAAGATAGACTTATTGCGATTTTTGCGATAGCGATGTCTGCGTTCCGCGACTATTGCGATGATTACGATTTAATGGAAACCAGGCTTTAGTGTACAGTGTACATTGACATTGTCTTTGGATTCGAGACGCACTGGTAGAGCAGAATACTTTTAGGTTGTTAAAGCACGTATTTTCAAATAGTCTTGTCATGGAGTGAACTGCAAATTTGACGAGAAATTCGATTAATTTTTGTTAAAAGGGAAAACATTCAGCAGGCAGTGGCCCTAGATTTCACAGGTGTTGCGGTTTTGTATCATGTTTTACTCCGTCTTTTACGTCCGTAAGTATTTTATTGCATCAAGTCCAGTACACTGCGTTAAATTTTCTCTACATGTACACTTCCGTTTCGTTTTGTGAAAAACACCACGTTTATTCGTTCAGCAAAGCTTACAATCCGTAGGCCTTGATCTTCATTATCATTACCACTGGATCGTGAAGATCAGACCTGCCAAGTTTGGCCGACACAAAATGCAGCTTCTCTAGTAGCATTGCCAATAGCAATTATTAAGATCCACATTAATGCAATTTTTTGCGTATATGTGGATCCAAAATTTGGAAGATCTGGATGTTGAACATCCAGGCTTAATGGCTGGCTTATGGATCTAAGGTATGCCAAATAAAAACATGGGTTTTCCCCACAAAACAAAACTGCACCAAACTCTTTATGGTAATGGACACTTACACAAAAATTACATAATATCAAGTTGCACTAAACTCTCTATGTAATGGACACTTACACATAAAAATTACATAATATCAATTTGCATGTAAATGTCTTGAGCAGCACACAACCTCCGAGACCTTTGCTCACTGTACAATACATTTATCAAAATATTCTTTATTGTTATAGAGCAACAATCCCATCATAGATGGTCCACATAATCATTTTCCCATCTTTCTCTTTTGCATACAATGTCAGAGATGTTAAATGCAAATACTGTTTAAGGTTGGAGAACTGATGTAACTCAAAACGTGGATGTCCACATTGACAAGAAGCATGATTAAAAGATGTGTCTGGTGACAAAAGAGGCTCAATATTGACTTGAGCTCGAATCAATTCTCCAGTACAGCCAAAATTAGCCATGTCACGCAAAACTGCTTCCTCATAGCACTCTGGTTCCCAATTTTCATTCCCAGTTTGCTCTTCAAAAGGACCACTTAGAAATTCTACATTTAGTTCAGATTGTTGAAAATCAAACACAAGGTGGTTGAAATATTCAGTTGAGCAGCTCTGAGCTAGTTTATCATTTGATTGTTCATCAGGGCCCATAAAGCAAACACATACTTCACCAGGTTCAAAACTCAAAGATGTGTTTAGCTTTGATACAAGTGCAGCAGATGATCCATATAGAGGTTCTTTAAAGGTTTGAAAATATTTGCGAGTGCCATCCACATAGTCAGACATATCATTTAATATGTCTTCACTCAAACAATCATTGTCATCCTGACACATTGCATTATTTCTATCTGCAGACATGAGCATGAATTTGACAAGTTGATTAACAGGAATGTCTTCATCAACTTCACCACAAAATGGTACAATATTATCATGGTAGTCTCCTGGCATTCTGGCTGATGGATTACCACTAATACCATCATAATCATCAGCATCACTACTACCCTCACCATCATCATCATCGTTGCTACCTTCATCATTGCTATCTTTGTCATTTGTTGTTATATACACTGTACTCTTTGCATAAAAGCTACCAGGCAGTTCTATGCCTGTAAATTCTGCTCCATGCTTAATCAACATGTAGTTCCGATCAACGCTGAGTTCAAAATCTTTCTTAGGATCTCTCGTTTCAGGATCTTGTTGTCGGACATTGTAAACTGATCCATAACATCTCCGACCATAGAACACATCAGTGAGAAGTGTTTCCAAGGCAACAACACAAACCTCTTGAGTATCAGGATTATATCTCACTGTGTAAATGTCATCCTGTGGTGAATGGCCAAGAAGAAAGAATGAGTACATGGCGGCTACACGACAGCATTCATTCTTTTTTTCTTTGAAAAGCTCTGCATCCGGAAACACAAATGAAGTTACCACCCCTTTTTGATAACGGATTTTTGGTAAATATCCAACATTGGATAATTTCGAGGAAGTGTTCCTCTGTCTTTGCTCCCAAGTTGCCATAACCAAATTCAACTCCGGGTAGGCATACACAATGTTTTGCACATCATATCCTGACAGGAATTGGAACACATGATACCACACTTCAGGAGGAAATCTTGTGTAACCACTGGTATCAATATCTTTAGGTGTTTCGTTGATGCAACTGGGATAACAATAACGAATTGACAATGCTTTTTCATACAGATCACTTGCGATGTCATAATTTCGGAATAATTCTTGTTGCTGTGCTTGTCTAAAGTAATTCAAACATGTCGTGTAATCTTTCTTCTCGCATTCCTCCACAGAAAATCCAAATTCCTTCAAGCTACGTTTCACAACAACATCTGTCTTCAAGATGTATTTTGCACTGTTTCTGACTGGTAAAGCTTCGTGCAATATGCTCTGACTACTCAGAAGTGCATGCCCGACTTTTGGGATAATTTTCACACACTTATACCCTTTTTTTAATCCTCTGTGAGACTTAATTTCCTCTTTAATAGTCATCCCTTTCGAGCTAAGTGTTGAATTTTTTGGAAAATAAAAGCAGGTTTCACCACCTTCGAAATCTTCATTGAGATAAATTAGTAAAGTCATTATCGAGCGTTGATCACCATTTGGACAGAATTGGGCGTCCTTGTGTGGACCAAAGTAGCCTTTCCTTTCCCCGGAATATTTGTTGATTCTAATTGCTTCGTTCAAACCATGTAGATCCCAAACCCCTCTTGTCACGTCAAATCCAAGTGGCTGCGTAGAGACGCCTTTATCTGTGATTTCGTTGAATATATAGGGGTATATACTTTGCCAAAGATTTTCTGCCAAAGTTTCGTCCAGTGCCAATAATCGTGAACTATCACGCTGCTTGCCAAATCGATACTTATCGCTGATATCTTCGAATATACACTTGTCTGCATTCTTCATTATTTCAACACATTCTTTCGAAGAAAGTACATTGCCAAGTTCAAGCAGAAATTGTTCATTTTCGAAGATTGTTAATTGTGGTTTGGGGGAATCCTTTGGGGTAAATTTTGACAACAATGAAGTTTTTATGCAGTGATCAGTCGTCTTTAATGACAGATTGCCCGTATATTCTCGTCGTAACACACGTGTATATGAAGACATATTTATATTTTAAACTAAATCAAGACTATTACCGTAATTAAGCCAGTTAATCTTTTATAATTATACCTCTCATTCCATGAATGTCCAGCCTTTATTTAAGAATCCAACACAGATTTTTAATTTGAAATACTCTTCGACTTCTTTACGGGTTATGCAGTGAAGCTTTTTGAAAATGGACACGGCCCTCTCTCCTCCGCAGAGGCTTTAGTTTTCTTAGGATTTAATATTACGACACAGAGTAGATATACTACATCTACTCTGTGATTACGATGAGATACATTTCACTACACTTTACATGGCGGATCTTGGAATACGAGCGTAGCCGCTGGGCGAAGGAGCGCAGGCGGCAAAGGGAAAGGCGAAGGAAGGCGCTGCGGAGGAGAGAGGACACGGCCTATTAAAACACAGTAGACACAGTAGAGGAGACGGTTTATAGCACTATTTTCCATCCAGCAAACTGACCTGACGTCATTTTCGGAAGATAGAAGAGGTGTTAATTAACAAATATAAACTAACCCAAACCCTACCCCTACTCTAACCCCTAACCGCAACCCTAACTCTAACCGAATTAATAAAAAATAAAAAAAGACTTTGGGAAATCGATAGGGCGGTTTGCTGGATGGAAAAAAGTGCTAACCTGTAGGGACATACAGAGATAAACTGACCGTTGTAAACGCTAGCCCGCGTGCAGGCCCAAGGGAGCAGGCTCAAGGGAACTATCAGTTCGGTCCGGACCTTCGTCTTGATTTGCAGTGAAGATCATAAAGATTTGCGGCTACGGACGGCGAGAGCTTTAGTGCTAAATAATAAACGTGGACTTTCCCACTCTCTATGTCAACTGCCACTTAATTAAGGAAAATCACGTAATATCGATCTCCCTATGTCAAGGAATCCGGATTCCGGAATCCAACAAAAATTTGCACTTCAGAATCCGGAATCCATGACGTAGAATCCGGAATCCATTGACTCGGATCCGGAATCCATTATTTTAATCATGGAATACGGAATCCAGCTTTCATACTTTATAAAATATAATGGTTTTGTAGCGTGACACATCAAACCCTCTGCATCAAACCTTAACGTACGTGATCTCATTAAATTCATGCAATACAAGTCTCCCCGCCTCATAAAATTTACATGGTGTTAATGAGAACAAACAAACTAACTCTGAATTATGCATTTGGGCGCAACAGGAGCGCATTTGTCGAAATAATTGAATCTTTAGTCGAATTACTGGTGCGTTGGAAACACTGATCGTTTTTGACTGTTTTTGCCAAGATATTGAGTCGAATTGAAACATATTTATAAAATATTATTCAAGGAAAAAGTTAGGAATGGGAAAAAAGCACAAGAAACAAAGTAGAGAGAAAAGTGATGACCGGAATAGACGACTATTGAGGGTGGAAAAGGGTCATTTTCGTGAGTCATGAATGGTCAATATTTGTTCGTGCGAAATGCTTGACTTTAGTGTCGTGAAATGTGATTTGTTCTATAGCCGTGAGGCGTGATTGTCGATAAAAATGCTCCGTGAAATGAGAATTAAGGATGTCTGTTTTGTGAACTGTGATTTTACCTTGTTTATTTCAATCTATTTTATAAAAGTCATAATAGACATAATATGCGATAATAATTGATATGATCGATGTCACTCGATTGCATTGCACAAGAGCAAAAATTTCTCAGGCCGTTTGGAGGTCGTCGCACGTACACGTCACTGAAACAGGTAAGTTATAGTGCAGTTTTTAACTGCCAGGCAGAGAAGTGAGATAACTTAAAGCGTAGATGCTGTACCATGCATTAAGCATACTATTAATAAACCTAAGTATTATTATTATATTATTTTTATTAGAATTTCCGTGAAATGTGAAATTGCTTTTTTAAAATTAAGATACGTGAATTGGTGAAACGGCTTTTGTTTTCATTGTGAAACGTGACCCATACCCCCCCCCCCATTTCCCACCCTCGGTATCGACCCTTTTATATCCCTTTGAGATTTAAATATCATAAATATTTAGCGTTGCCGTTGTTCAATTCTCAGATATAATTTAATAGTACATATAGTGAAATATAAATAATAACCGATCATTGTTATTTTTCATCTTTAATATGAAGCTATAGAGGTGAATTATAAACTTTAGGAGTGCTGATATATGGAAGTACATATTTAAACATGTAGAATACTAGAATTATTAAAAAGCCTGCAAAAGGAGTGTACTCAGTACCAAGGCGTTTCAAAAGTGCTTGTTATGGATAAGGATTTCGAAGGATCATTGTCATTTCAGCAGTAGGGCTGATTCCACTCCAACAAGAAATGGCTAAATACGCAAATCTGTTTAGGCTTGATAAAAAGGCAAAACAGTAGAAGTTGCCCATAATAAACAACGACCACCTGAGAATTGTACAGGAAGTTGTTGCCTTCTTTGCTAATCTAGAGAACGAAGCTAGAGTTAGGACGGGGAAGTTAAATACAAACGGCCCAGACATGGTTATACCGCGAACAACGAGACGATCCTTTGAAATTGTCTTAGACTCCCTCACCGATCTACTAAACACGCTGATGGAGATTAATCATGAGGAATTGGCCAACAAGATTCGCTTCACAAGCCTGACAACATTAAGCGTAGAGACTTTCTTCAAAGGTGTACGTTGCAGAATACGCACACAAGCGAGCTCGCTGTGTTGAAGTTATCAT